CGCGTGGGGGCCGCCGTGGGACGCCCGCAGCTTTCCGAAGCGGAAAGTCCACTCAGGCACGCGCAGAGGGCCGAGAGGTGTCCCTTACCCTGACCGCCTGGGCGCAAGCCGGAGGCCGCGGATGCTGGAGTCTCACGCGGGCAAAATCAGGAGGCTGAGCGCAAGGAGCTGGGGCAAGCGGGTCTTAACGCCGCAGCGGGGAGCAAGCGGACTTCGACCTGGTTCCCAACGGGAGCTGCGTCTTCCCGGGCTGGTTGACCGAAATCAGGCGAGCCTGGCTTCACCTTGTCCCGGGCCCAAAGGCGATCCCTCGCTCAGTTCCCCCACTCCGCAAAGGTGGAAAGTCTGGACTCCAGTAGGCTCGAGCTGGGGTGGACTAGCCCTCGCAGTACTCGACCTTGCAAATCTCTTCCTGAGGTCTCAGCTCCCAAACTGGCCCATGGAAGTCAGGACACATCATACCACCACCTCTGCCTGTCCTTGTCCCCTCCTCCAGAAAACCTTCACGGTCTCCTCCCTCATCTGAGACCCCACACACCCCCAGAGAGCAAGGTGGACTCCTTGGGGTCCCAGACCCACTGGAGTGGAGAGTGAACATCCACCAGTGGAAGACGAGATGAAGGCCTGCCCGCGGTCTGTGTGCGCCAACCTTGCCAATGCCCCAGGGCTCCTGGGCTGGACTGGAGTGACTGGCACTGCTTGGGTCTAGATGGCAGCTCCAGATCACAGGAAAGCAAGTTTAGTCTGACTTGATGGGAGGGTCTCAGCACAAGAGGGGGCCCAGGTGCAGTGACCACCTTCATTAGAGGCTGGCCACTCAATACCAGGGGAAGCCATGCCAGCCTCTCAGCAGTTTGTCTGAACCCAAAGGGTAAGGCCAGATCCCAGTTGGCACCAGCTGTGCTGTCCACTCATCCTACAGCACCTACTCCAAACTTGCTATGAGAAATGACTCCTCCCCTTGTCTCAGCTCTGCTGTCACTGGCTTATGGTGATTGGTTTTGAGATGCCACAGAATCCCTTCAAGATCAGTTGAGCAGGGTGCTTACCAGGGCATCTGTGCATCGTCTCCTGAGAGCCTGGAAAGGGTTGCTTTTTCCTGGTTGGCACTGTGTGAGGACAGGTCTGGAATCACTGCAATTTCTACTCCTACACAAAGGATGAAGTCACAACTGCTCGAGACAGAGCAGACAGAAAGAGGAAGGCTGCAGACAGGTGGAATGGTGTGGACAACCATGTTTGAGCCACTGGGATCAAACCTATCCTAAAGACTGCTCCACATCTGGCATTCTCAGTTACATACAATTTCATTGTTTAAAGCCTTTTTGTTTTTTACTTTTTTTGTAGTGATGGAGTCTCGCTATGTTGCCTAGGCTGGTCTTGAACTCTTGGGCTTAAGCAGTCCTCTTGCCTCAGCCTCCCAAAGTGCTGGGATTACAGGCATGAGCCATAGAGCCTAGCTGTTTAAAGACAATTTGATTTGGGTTTTCTGACCCTTGCATCCAAGATGATTAGCTGATAGAATGATGTCACTTACCTCAAAGACATCCAAATAAGAAATTTCAAATTACAAAGCTTGTAGGTGCTACTGAGAGTGGTAGGTGTCTGAAGTCTAGTTCTCTCCAGTCCTAGGCTTTCTCCAACCCTTTCCCGTTAAGACAGTTCACAACTCCCAAACACATCATTCAGAAGTTTTTAATAAACAACTTCATTATAAAAACCTTTTTTTGAAAATGTAATTCTGTAAAACATTGAAAAATCTACTTTAACAAAGATATGCCCTGTGCATTTTCTAATGGCACTTATATTTTACAATTAAAAACCTTGTTTTATATAAAGCCAAAAATACTCCAAGAGGTTATTCACTGTGTTTACAAAGTGCTAGAAGATTTTTGTCTTGTATTTTTCTCTCTTTAAATAATCTGGCGTTACAAAAGAGTGGCTCCACAACCTTGACCGCTGGTAGGGAGGGAAGAGCATGAGAGGTGGTGTTTCAGGAGTTCTAGTGCCAAATATGCAGAGATGGAGAGGTGTGTACAGGAGAATCAGCTCAGGAAGTTAGCCGACACACGAAGAAACTGAACTGGATTTGTTCCAAACCCTCCGTGGAGGCACTAGATTATTATGGTGAACACCTCTTTCCCTCGCCACAGACCCTACTCTCCAGTGGTAAAGGTCACGGCCAATTCCTTCCACAGCAGGTTCAGAGCTCCAGGAGAGGCCAGGGTGAGGTCCCAGAGGAATCTGGACTTTTCTGGCCAACACCTGCCTAAGGCAAAGTTTCTTATTACATAAATATCCTTGTTAAAAAGCAAAATATTGATCCTGTACAATATAACCTGTTAAAAAAAAATCGTGCAGGTCCTAGATAAGAGGGGAGATGGACAGAAGGTAGAGAAACAGCTACCAAAAGGGGGGGGGGGATTTAAAGGGCCACTAGGAAGAGTCCAGGGCAGGGGGAGAATTCCAACTTAGGACAATATCTACGAGCAAAAAAGTAATCACACCTGCCTCCTGGATTTCCATGAACACAACGCCATTTGTAAAAGGTTGGGGAGGGGAGGAACTTATTGGTGATCCTTTGCCTACCTCCCACCTCTAAGATGGTGCAGAGACCATCTGAGCTGACACCTGGGCATGTCATCCCCTTGTTCCCAGGACTGCTACTCAGCCCCGAGGAACTCCTGTGCAGGGTGGGAGGGCCCTGCCCCTATTCGGGACAGCTCATTGCTGACAGAAGCTGGAGGTTGGGGGGGGGGAGGATACCACCCCTTTTTCTGGTATCTGATTGGTTTTTGCCACATGCCATGGCTTCTGTCCTGGCAGATGCCCCTCAGCCTCTCACAGCCTCAGTAAACATGCTAAAGTGAGTTTGGGTATTGAGTATAGGATAAAGCTATTCTTATCCTTTGAACAACCAGGTTAGTAAGGCTTTTATTTTTTTTCCTTTCAGATTTTGGGAAGGGAGGTTTAAGAATGGCTGGGTGACTATGGTCCAAAAAAAAGGTGAAGGCAGATCATATTCCTCTGCACCAGCGAAGTTCACAGTCATAGGAAAATTCCCTGCGAGTGGTGAGGGCACTGACGGAAGAGGAGACACAGACGGATGGGAGGAGACAGAAGTATGGCAAGGCAAAGAAAAGAATGGGGAGGGGGCAAGGCCCCAGTTACAAGGGTTTAATGGTTACTTTTCTGGTCCTATGAGTTTCCCAGCATCACCTACAGGGAAACAGAATTCAAGGAAGGGGCAGAAGGCAGGCAGAGAGGACAGGACTCCTCCAACAGCCCAGGACTTTCTAGTCTGTGGCTAGAGGCTCGTCTGCCTCTGTAAACTGAGGATCAGAGAAGGTGGCAGGGAAGGGGAGCAGGACTGCTGGGTCTGTGATGAAGACCAGACAGGACAGGGAGAATGCAGCAGCGAGGCCCACTTGGATTCTCACGTGCCACTTCCTGAGTCCCAGTAACATGCACAGCATGCAGGGGGTGGCTGCGAACCAAGGTAGACATTTTAGAAATAAACCTGAATTAGTCCCTGGGACTCACTGAAACTAATTTTTAGAAGCAAATCACCTAGTTGATTCTAACCTTGCCAGACAATTTGATATCTGGTTATTTTTTCTTAAAGGTATCCCAAGCTACCCTGCCTAAGTCAAAACACGCTTACTCACTCCAAATTGCTTCCAACAATGGCTAGGGAGCTAAACGTTAAGGCTTTCACCTCAAGTACTGGCCTGGGTTGAAACAGAGGCCTGAGTCCTGGACCTGCTCAGTTCCTGATAGCAAACCAAAGTGAGTCTAGACAGAAGGGATGGGGAACAGACTGGCGGGAGGCTGAGGCAGTTCCCTGGTAGTTTGTCCTGAAACCCTAGTGGAGAAGCCAGCAGGAGGCACCCACTGAGAGAAGTGCCCCGAACTGCTGGCTGCATCTGTAGGAGTTAACAGTAGAGAGGTAGAAGTGTGTTTCTGAATCAGAGTGGAGGTCTCAAGGGTCCCACAGTGGAGGTCCCTGAGCTGCCCCCCTTTCACGAGTGGGAAGAGCAAGCCCATGAAGAACTGAGATGAAGCGAGGATGGGGTTCACCTGGTTCTGGGCAAGGGCTGGGCTGTCTGTAGCAGGGAGCCTACAAGCAGAAGAGAACACATCATTTGTTGCAAGAAACTTTGCTGGACATTAGGGGCAAAACCAAGGAGGGGCCACAAGAAAGTGGAAGTTCTTTGATAGAGAGCAGAGAAGCCTATGCACGGTGGCCCTGAGTCCCTGGGGACTGCAAAGTGGAAGAGACAGAAGGGACATCGGGGATAAGAAAAAATTTGGTTTGGGAGGCAACAATGTACCCCATAGATTAGGACTTAAGTATCTGCCCAGTCCTAAATTTCTGAAAACTCTTCTTCCAACAACTCCACAACTTCCTGGAAAAGGGACAGTCAGGAGACAAATGAGGGACTCGCATCCTCACCTCTGCTTCCACAGCAACCCAGAACCCAGAGTCCCTCCTTCCAATCTAGTAACAACAGCTCATGATGCTCAGAATGGGGATTAGGGGACGAGGGGGTGATGTGGGCATGCCTTTCATTTCTTCCCCTCTCCAGCTCAAATGGAGGATGAGGGGGTCATGATGTACTTGAAGAAAAACAGACTTGCAGGCCTGTGAGAAAACTGCTCCGGTCTTCTTGCCGGTTTCCTGTGCATACTGCCGAGGAAGGCAGGAACAGACGCAGTCATGGAAGATGGCAGAGACTGAAGCAGTCCAAAGTCAGTTTATTTCCCCACAGGGGAAAAATGTGACCTCAAGTGAAGAGAAGTCAGCAAGACCCGACTCCGCCTTGTAAACAGGACTCCAGTTAACACCAGGTACCAAGTGATTCAGGCTGGTGCCAACTGAAATGGACTGGTGGGAATGGATTCACGGTGTGTAAACAGTGTTCACTGCAATCATTCTAAGGCTAACAGCTTGGCAAGGGAGGTGAAATGGTGTGTCTGAGGCGACTGTGTAAACGGTACCGTTGCTGGACAACACTGACTGAAAACGGAGGTGCTGGACAGGAGGGGTGGGGCTGGTTGGGAAGAAGAGAGGCCCTCCTTCCTGCCTGTCAGCTGGAAGCAGGCACTGGAGACAAGCGACCTTCTGCAACAGGGCCTGGCCAACTGGCTGCTGTGTGGTCTGCAGGTGGGGACCAGAAGGCGGTCTTCTTGGGCAGTTTCTCTTGAGGTCATCCAAGGTGAAACCCTCTGTGTTTCCAAGAGGTCCCCCTTTTCCACAGAGAAGGAGGTTCTGACACTTTGGAGAGGAAGAGGGCTAAGCGTGGCTCCCGATTCAGATCAAAAACATGAAAGTAAAAATACCTGAAGTCCTATGGTATGAGATCTTTTCATGGGGTTGGAGCTCAGACTCCTCCCGGAATCAATCCTAGAGCCTGAACCCCCAAACGAAGTGCTCCATACAGACACTGGATTTTCTCTTTTTGAACCCAGCTCTGAAAGCTCAGCTGCCTTCACGGGGGACACGGACGGGGTGGGGCCTAAGGCTCTCCGCCAGAGCCAGAAGCTGAGCTGAGGCCTCTGTGGGGGCTATTGGAATGCTTGGTGGAAACGAGGCAGGGTGGTGCTACTCAGGCCAGAGGTGAAGACAGGGGGTAAGGAGTGCAGAGGCCCAAAGTTCAGCGGCCCCCCAGTGCCCGGGGAGTCTTGAGGCTGAGCCTGCAAGGTGGTAAGCAGAGGCTGGGCCTCAGCCTGGGAGTAGCCCATGACCAGGCCTCCTGCGGCCCCAGGTGGGTTGCATGGGGGCAGGTTGAGGGGCAGGAAGCCCAGCAAATGGGAGAAGTCCACGTTAGCAGCGCAGAGGGCCTCAGAGAGGTTGGTGGGGCTCTTGGCGAGCAGTGCTTCATCTAGGAGGGCCGCAGCTGCCGCCGGCTGAGGTGAGGCGGGCTGGGGTTCAGCGGATGAGAGAGACAGGCTTCCAGGAAGCTCCGCCAGAAAACTATCCACCTCCACTTTGGGCAATTTGTCGGGCAAGTATGAGGTAGATCCAAGCTGGTATTTTGGAGGGAGCTGAGCTGGGGAAGAAATGGGTGAGGATTCCAGGGGATAGCTCATACCCATGGGCAGTGTGTTGTGCACCAGGGAGTGTGGCACACCTGCACTGGGCATGGTAGGGATGTGGGCGCCATACATGCCCATGGGCAACATGCCAGGGAAGGCCTTGGCCCCCATCACGTCCCGCGAGGCCATGCAAAGCACAGGGCTCAGCTCTTCCTTCACACTGACTGTAGAGCTGCAGCTGAGTAGGCCTAACATGTCCACTGGCTCTGTCTTGATCTTGAGCAGCTCCTGTGAGTGGCTCTTCTTGACATGTCGTGTCAGGTGGTCCTTACGGCCGAACCGCTGGGCACAGTACTGGCATAGGAAGTCCTTACGGCCCGTGTGCACCACTAGGTGCCGCCGCACATCCTTACGAGTATAGAAGCGCCGGTCGCAGTGGTCACAGGGGTGCTTCTTCTCTTTGGCACCGCCTGCTACCCGGCGTGAGTGGGCTTTCAGGTGCTCTAGCAAGGCCTGAGTACTCTCAAAGGTCTGCAGGCACACCTTGCAGCTGAGGTCACCACTGCTGGCAGCATGCATGGCCAGGTGGCGCCGGTAGCCCAGCTTCGTATTGTAATTCTTACCACACTCGGAGCAATGCAGGGCCTCTTTGTTAGGGTCGTGGGTCTGCAGGTGGTTCCGCAGATGGTCCTTGCGATGAAACATCTTATCACAGTACATGCACTGGTGGGGTTTCTGGGCTGAGTGGGTGGCCATGTGCCTGGGGGTAGGAACGGGGAAGAGGAGAGAGAAAGCAGAAAGAGGGAGATCACAACAAGGGATGATTGGACAACCAAGATGTCCATTAAAAGGAAACTAGATACAAAAACTACGGTGAAGCCATGCAATAGAATACCATGTCAACTATATTCGATGGCCTTACCTACCTCAAAAATGACATGTGTACTGGTATTCTTTGCAGCACTGTTTGTAGTATCAAAAAAATCAGAAACAATCTGAACATTCAAGCTGTCAATAGGGAACTGGTTACATAAATTATAAGTCCATAAGATGACTCAACTTTTTAAAAAACAAGGCAGCTTTATACACATCTACAGGGAATAAACTCCTGAGAGACAGGAAGTGGAAAAAAGCAAGGAGGCAGAACAATGCAAGCAGAATAGTACTCTGTATGTGCAAAAAGGGGAAAATATATGCACACCTGCTTGTAGATGCTTAAAGTATTTCTTGCATATAAAAAAACTGATATCATTGGTTGCCTTTGGGGAAAAGAACTGAACAGCTTATAGATAGGTATAATGGAGAATTTTCACTGTATAACTTTTGGTACCTTTTGAATTTCTAATTATGTGAATGTATTTCCTTTTCAAAAAATGATACTTACATAATTTTAAATGATACAATAAAGGGAAAATGAACTATATCTACACTTCCTTATCTAGAACAAATTCCCAAGATATATACAGCTAAGTCAAAAGAAGGAAGTTCAATACAGTGCATGCAGTACAATCCCTTCTGAAAATAAAAAAAAGAAAGGAATACATGTTTGAATGTCTCAGGAAAGACACACAAGGAACTAACCACTCCGGCTGCCTTAGGGGAGGGGAACAGTGGCTCTGAGTGACGGACAATTCTTTTTTCATTGCACGCCCACTTGTACCGTTTGAATTGCTTGTCATGTCGATCAGTAGCACTTGAAGAAATGTCTAAATGGCATGGCACCTCAGTGTCCCTTAGCTTACCTGCTCCCACCTGGCTGGAAAGCAACTCAGTATACAGTGACGGAAATCCACAGCTCCATAGGCCATTCAGAGTCAACCCAGCACCCATCATCTGCCAGGCTCTGCACAAGCTGTCATGAACCTTGTTCTCCAGAGGAGGCTGAAGCATAGGGCAGCCCCACTCACCAGTCAGAAGTAGCAGGGGCTGGGTTTACACACAGACCTTCTGGAAACCTGGGTCCAGTCAGGTATCCACAGCACCCAGCAATCCTTTCCTGGGGGCTATCAAACATACCTCTTACCCCCATGCCTATATAGGTAACTAATAACTTCCTATGCCATAACTGACATGATCGTACATGAGAGGGAGGTGCTGAGCAATCCCCACTTTATTCCTCTAATGTTGCAGGTGAGGAAACTGAGGCCCAAAGAAGGCCTCTCTAACTCACTAAAAGCACACAATGAATTATAAGTGGAGTCAGGGCTCCTGCCTCCTGGACCAGGACCTTTCCTACAGCCTCCCATTGGCATGCAGTCCATCACTAAGAAAGTCTGAGAATATGGCCCTGACTGGAGTCCCTCGAAGATATAGGTGCATACAGAGAATCTGGCTACCACACTACCCTGTTGCCTATTTTAGTTCCTTCCTATCAACTGTTTCCAGACAAGGAACTGAGGCTTTCTGTGGTCGTCTTGTTCATGTATTTACTTGTTTACTGTCTATCCCCACTATTAAGACCATAAACTCAGGAAGGGTCAATACCCCACCTGTCTGACTCACTACTGTGTCCCTAGCACTGAGCACTGTGCCTGGTAAGTAGCAGGAGCTCAATAAATAACGTTGGACAGATGAATGGATGGCTGGATGACTGCATCAGGCGGATCTATCTCATTTGTAAAGGGCAAGTTCATGGTTCCTCTGATAGAAAGGCAAGGATAAAATCAAAATTGCTTTTGACCAGGTCCCCACCTCCTCAGCGAAGCTGCTCTGCCATATCTTACAGCAGAGCTTTCATGTTCTAGTCACTTTAAATAGAAATTCTTGGGCTTATAAGTTTCAAAAAAGCAGCCGACCCAGTAGGCACCAGGGAGACAGACATCATAATCTGAGCAGCATGCTGAATCAATAGAAGAGGCACTGCAGGAACTAAGAAGCTATAAGCTGTATGTCCCCACTCTGAGCCTTCACTTTAAAATGTGCAGACAGGACCAGAAGGTCTACTTTTCCTTCTAAAGTTCGAAGACTGATTCCTAACTTCTGGCTAAAATTCTGACCATCACCTGACAAGGGCGGGGAAAGGAGTATTAAAAAAAAAAGAAAGTTCAATCTAATTACTTCATGGCTGCCTGATATTTTACCCATCAGATTCTAGTGTCTGCATCAAGTGATCTGAATCATTTTTTTAAGTGACTTCAGTTTGGCATTCAGGGTACAATTGTGCAAAAAGTTAACCTCTGCTCTTCTGTCACAGATAAAGCCCCACTTTCAGCAGGGTCTCTCTGGCTTTGTCCTCTGGGAACCTCAGGGCAGGAAGAGATATGAGAGTATCACCTACCTATACAGCTTGTATTTGGAGGCAAAAGCCTTCCCACAGTGCAGCTGAGGGCAGCTATATGGTCTCTGCTCTGGTTGGGGGAGGCTGTGAGGCCTCAGCTTCTCCCCGTTTGAGAAGGGTGTCCCCGAAATTTCGCATTGGCACTTCACTTGACTCTCTGCCTCCCGGCCCCGAGGCCTGGGAACTAGTTTCCAGCCCACTTCCTCCTCCTGCTTTGCATCTTGAATCCAGGGGGGGACGCTGGTGAAAAATGTGGTCATGGCTAATGGCAAGGGGCCATGTTATTCAGCAAGTCTCCCATCCACTCCACACAGGCTCTCTGCTCCGCCACAGCCTTCAGCGCAGCCTTCAGAACACGGTCTCTTCACCTGAAACATCAGAACACTTGGTGTTAGGAGGCCCACACCAAGAGAACACGGGTTCTGGAGGTAGACAAGCCTGTTCCAAGTCAGCCTTCACTAAGAAGCTGTGTGACTTTCAGCCAATCATTTACTTCCCTTAGCTATTTCCTCATTTACAAGACAGGCATAATAATCCCTAAATCGAAAGGACATTTGAGGATCATATGAGACCATGGATATAAAGCATTCAGCAGAAGGCCGGGCACCCAGGAAATGCTTAGTAGTAACTATTATTACTAGTACCATCTAGGCTAATAAGATCCAAAAGCAAGGAACTAAAAGCCCTAAAACTTCAAACTTTCTTTTCTAAACCTCACTTTTACATCTTTTCACTAACCCTGGAGTCAGCAGTTCCTCCTTTTCCTTATTACCCTAGCACCTCCTCATCTACCACTTTCCACAATTCTCCTCCTCACAGAGGTGCTAAGGACCAATAAAATGTCCAAAAGGCAACAGAGAAGGAGAAGCCTTTACTTAAGAAATTAACGTCCTAGAGAGTCAGGCCCTGCGCCAGATGTGTTTCTTAGCAGCATATCAGCAACAGAGGGTTGTCTGAGAAGGCAGCAGCAGACTCCCAGCATTTTCCTGAAGCCAGTACTGGTCCTATCCTGACCTCCACCACTCTTCTGGGTCTCTGGATGTCAGGGCCCAGACCACAGCTCTTTAGCAAAGCCTGTCCAACACACCTAGGTACTGAGTGGTCCGTCCACAGGCCCTCAGAGTACACAGGTACACCACTACTATGAGCAGGTAACACACGTGTGTTGGAATTCAGTCTTCACCAGACTCTGATTCTTTGAAGGCTCATACTGTAACTCTTTCATCTCCATACACCTAACATCTAGAAAATGAATCTCAACTTTCTTTTAAAGAATTAAACTAGTCATTGAATGCAAATCAATTCTCAGTTCTGGTTTAAACTGGATTGGCAGCCCTTCCAAAAGTAGGGAGTCAAATCTTGAAGTCTGATTCTTTCTCCCTTTGAGTAGAAGCAGGTGGGGCCATAGTGCAAGGGTGACACAACTCCTTTCCTGACACCAACGCAGAGGAAGAGGATGGGAGTTACTGTACTGATTCTCAGAAGGGGACAACAGGTCCATATTCACACTCATAGCTTACCACAGATAACCAAACACAACACAACTTGCCACAACAAGGGACTCCCTTTGAAGAGATCATGCCAAAATGTGGTCATGAGGCTTTTCCATGTGAAGAGAGAAAAGGGGGTGTCTGGGGACCATCCACGAGAATCTGGGGAGAGCTCCAACTGCACGAACTAGCTGTGGGCCACAGAATGCTTGCTCAGCTCATTAGCACCTGCTGCTCACAGTGACCATTCATCCAACAGACTGGCCGTGAACGAGATGATGCGATCAGCGGGTTCGTGCCCCAGAGAGCTTTGCTCATCATTAACATGAGCTGCGTCCTGTTCAGGAACCATTCCTCTTGTTGAAGAACACTGCAATGTAATATGACGAACATTCCCCCCATCGTGAGTGGAGATTTGCCGAGGAAGATCTGCATAAAGACAGCTGCATTTTGCATGAGTCACACGCTGGGCAGGGGTAGACAGCACTAAAAACTAGTCCCACGTGAGCCTTCCAGTCATCGTGGCATCTTGGCTTGCTTCGCTATAAACCTCAAAGGTCTCTGACATGTAGCTTTCAGTGTTTGAGTCCCCTCCTCCTTCACAAGGGTGGAATTACCTGTTTGCTATGGCAGCGATTGCGATGCACCTTGGAATTGGGTAGAGTGAGCTCAAGAGTGCATGTTTATTTTGGAGAACTACTCCTACCTTCAAAGACAAATGCTGCTCCCCTTCATATCTGAAATCATGTACCTCTGCCGCTGGAAAGTTGGGAATGGCAGCCAGAGGAAAACAAGTCATATCACCCTGGCTGATGTGAGAGGGGAGCCTAGCCCTGGAAATTCCGCACAAACCCAGAGAGAGAACAGTATGTCCCCACCTCCCACACGTCCACCTCATCTATTCTCCTGAACAAGCACAAACAAGACTGAGCAGTTTAGTACGCTGTTTCTGAGTGAGTAATGGGCTTCTAGGAAAGAGGTTGGCGGTGAGGTTGTATGATAGAACCAGAGGAGAGCAGCAGCCATGTGCTTGTCTTGATCTGCATTTAATGGGGCTACAGTCTTTCCCCTGCACTTTTTAAAAGGTACAAGAAGTCCTTACCTACAGTCACCGGTGGGCTCTTAGATAACCAATGCTGCTAGTGTTACCTCAGGGACCTAGTCTGTCTCTCTCTGCCCTTCATCTGCAAACTCTTCTGATCCAGAAAGATTCCTGGATTTTTCTCACATAATGAGAAGACCTGTGCCTTCAGACACTCCTTCCTCAGCAAAACTGTGAAAGAATTCTACTTCTCTTTCAAAGCTGTTCTTCTGGTCTCACATTCTAACCTTAACAACTGAAGCTGACAGAACCTGTTTCCATAAAACAAACACAATCCCTCCCAGTTACTGGTATAACTCAGTATATTTTCAGCCTAAGATTCTTTCTGGTGCCTGATCTGAAAGGGAGATGAGATAGCACAGAAAGGACCTTGGACTTGCTATCAGAAGGACTGCCGCTTACTGGAGAGGAAACCATGGGCAGGTTACTTTATTTCTCTGAATCTCAGTCTCCTCAAGATTTGTTTTCCTTACCTACAAGATTCTTATGGAGGACTAAGTGAAACAGTACCCATGAAGAGTCTGACAAAATGTGTCTAAGTCGTTTTGACCTCTTTTCTGCGTGAGGCCCGAGTAGTACTTCTTTTTTTCCCCTTTAATGTTACTTCTCAGACTCAGAGTGAGTTTCCTTCCTTTCCCAACATCTCCCCCAGAATGTAGCCTTCCCCTTTCCCCTTACAACGAACCCTCAGAACACCCCTTCTGACCAGCCCTCCAGCACCATCTTCTGGGCCAGAGTTCTTTCTTGCCCAGAGAGCTACATTATTCTGCTATTGATAAGGCTCCATAACCCAAACAGGAATGCTCACTAAGAACTCTGAAATGGAGACAGTGCTCCCTACTGTCTGTTCTCTGTTGTGTGCCATGACGCCTGCTGCCCTCTGATGAAACTATAGTTTTTATGGTATTACATCATCTCTATAGAAACTGCGTTCTTTCTCCATTATTAGCCCATTTCCTCATCTGTAAAGCTAAAAATACTGACCTCACAGGCTTCTTATAAGGATTATTTTAGTTAGGTATACAAACAGCCCAGCACAGGGCTTGACCTGCTGAAAGTGCCCAACAATTGTATCCAGTTGCAAGTTCCCACCTTCTGCTGCCACAAATTCTCCCAAATCCCCCTCAAAAAACGGTTGCGAGATAGCACTCCTGCAGCAAGGAAAGGGTTAATCTCTGAGTATTCTTAACTAAAGAGACCCACAGAGGATTAACAGCTCCACTTCAGTGACTACCCTAAAATAGCTTTTATCCCTCCTGCCCAAGAGCTACTTGGGGATCTGAAGAACTCAATTCAACACCTGCCGGAGGAAATACACCCGGGAATGTTCCTTGGGGTAGAATTCTTCCCTTAAGCAGAACCCAAAATAGCAACTGGGAAATTATAAATAAACTTAGAGAAAAAAAACTGATCCTGACCTGGGCACCAGAAACAAATCCAAAAGACATACTGGTTGGCTGGAAAATAGTGAGAAGTAAAGGGGAGGGGAACGAGAATGCTACCTCCCCCCCAACACACACTCCAGAGTGGTGGGAGAATTAAATTACAGGGAGGCTGGAGTCTCAATGCCTTGCATCATTCCAAGAAACATCCAACTGGATTAGCGGGCTGGATCTGCTCTCAGGCTGCTAGTTCTCTGGGTACAGAGGGGCCCTCTTTGGACTCCCTTGGAGTCACTATTAACTCTGATTTCTACAGCTTCCCACTCCTGGGGAGGCCTGGAACAAATGGCTGCAACTCACCACAGCCCTATTGTCAAGGGAATGAAGCCTGATTGGAACCCCCACCCCCCAATCTGGTGGCCTCACCTTAGGAGGGAAGGGTTGGAAACCCAAAGCCAGACTCTATCGCAGTCCCAGGCTGACAGGTGGAAAAACACACAAGCAGGAGCCAGGCCACACTCGCAGGTAAAACCACCAATTTCCCCACACAGGTGACCCCTTCTCCTCCATCTTACAGGGTCCTTTCTCCCACAAAGGCATGCCACAGTGTGGGACTGGATTTGCAGGAAACAGCCTGGCCAGCTTTTAGGTCACGCCACTGTGTAGTGGGAAAGGTTAAATTCCCCTGGGCCTGGGAGAGATGGGAGTGGATGGGTGCGGGGGGAAGAAGGAATTGTAGGGAGAAGTCTGCAGGGGGTCTCAAGGACAGGAAGAGCAATTGGTAAGGAACCAAGAGCAAGTTAGCTGGGTCTCTAAGGGGCCCTCAAGAGAAAGAGATGGGGGGTTCTTAGGACTGCAGGGCTCTGAGGGGTAAAGATAGAAGGGAATTCTCTAAATTCCTGAGTGTCTCAAATGGGTGACCAGATGGAGGTGTCTCAAGTTGGGGAGTGTGGTCACTGGGTAGAGACCTCCAAGTAGAGCTTATTCGGATTCTCCAGACCCGGGTACTGGAGGGAAGCCTCCAAGGCACTTATGTAAGGCTGGAAATGAAACGGGTTAGAGCGGACTATCTGAGCGAGAAAGAGGGGTTATGTGGGCCTGGGTAGGCGTGTCCGAGGGAGGGAGCAGGTGCAGCTTATCTGCGTCCCCCAGACCCGGGTCCCCGGTAGGGTCGGCCGCGCGTTATCTGGGTCTCCAGGGAGCCCGGGGTGGGGCATAGGGGACCCTCAGGACTGCGTCTCCTGGTCTCGGAGGGGAGTTCAGTGGGGCTCCTTCGGGTCCCCCAGACACAGGTATCTGGGCCGGGGAGAGTTTTCGCCACCCTGGGCCT